CAGAAGAGCCTATCGTTAGAGCACTTCAGCACTTAAATGTGAATAAATATTTTGTGTCTCGCACCATCGCTCGTTACCGTGATACTGGTAGCGTAGCCCGACTTCAAGAAAGTGGAGGAACGGAAACAGCAACATCAGTAGAAATGGCTCGAAAAAAAAGCGACTTGATCGAAACCCGCGCCGCAGTGGCCGAAAATGGCCTGTGAGCTGAATATATCGCAATATTCCATTCGGAAAACATTGAAAAATGAGCTCGGGGTAAAGCCATTGAAATTCGAAAAAGTGCAAGAACGTACACCGCAACAGAGAGAAAATAGACTCAATAGAGCTAAAGAGTTGCTTCGCTTGGCCGACAGTGGTGAACTGCCAAACTGTCTAGCAATTTGTAAACAAACAAAATGATCATGTTTACCTGAGAGGTTAGCTGAAAATGTGCTCCGGTTTTCCACCACAACTCAAGCGTCGGCCATGATTATGATGGTGTGGGCCGCCATAACAACTGATGGTTGCTCTCCGCTCGTATTAATCGACCGTAGCATCATAATAAATGCCGAATATTATCGCGAAAATGTTCTGGAGGTTGTATTAAATCCTTGGGCACACAAACATTTTGGCTGCAGACCTTGGACATTCCAACAGGACTCAGCACCACCACACTCACCATCCAAGAATGATTACAAAATGAGGTTCCTCGCTTCACTTCCAGGGCACAATGGCCACCAAAATCTCCGGATACCAATCCGATGGACTATTTCCAGCGCTCAATGGCCACCAAAATCTCAGGATACCAATCCGTTGGACTATTGCGTCTGGAGTATTTTGGAAAGCAAGGTTGGAACTAAAACATGCGACCACCTCAAGTAAGCGCATCGCTGTGAATATGCCAAAATAACGCAGAGCAACATTCGGTCAGAGTGTGACGGTTTCATTGGCCGTTTGAAGGCCATAATTCGTGCCAAATGTGACCAATTCAAACAAATCTAAACTTATTCTAAAATTTGATGCTATTTCCGACAGTTCTGGCTTTAATTAAATAACATTTTAAAAAAATGTAAAAATGATGGCGTTTGACTTTGTTGCAGTTTTTTTATTTTACCCTGTATATAGGCTTATCGGCTTATATATTCTTGATCACCATCATTCTTACAAGTAGATATATCTAGAATGACTGGAATTGGAAATAACAACACGAAGTAGACCCCAAAAACAGTACCTTTTCAGTAATTTGAATTTTTCTAGCCAAATCACCTGCAACATAATTTTTGCGTTTTAATCAGGTGGACTTGCTCTTTCATGGTTCTGTAGGTATCTTTCGATTTGGGTTATTTTGAAGGTTTTTGGACCAATCCACTATGGGTTTTTTTACGTTTATTTTGGCATAAACTCTAATTTCAAAGCTATTGAATTGAAATTTGGTTTGTATGCATTTTTTATGCTTCCAAGATGACCTACCAATTTTCATATGATTTGGGGCACTATTTCATATAGCTGCTATATAGCGGATCTGGCCGATTTGACCCAACTTTTTTGTTTATGAAGCTATTGAAGTGAAATTTGGTTTGTATTAATTTTTTATACCCCAAAGATGACTTACGAATTTTCATATGATTTGGGGCACTATTTCATATAGCTGCTATATAGCCGATTTGGCCGATTTGACCCAACTTTTTTGTTTATGAAGCTATTGAAGTGAAATTTGGTTTGTATTCATTTTTTATGCCCCCAAGATGACCTACGAATTTTCATATGATTTGGGGAACTATTTCATATAGCTGCTATATAGCCGATTTGACCCAACTTTTTTGTTTATGAAGCTATTGAAGTGAAATTTGGTTTGTATTCATTTTATAAGCCCCCTCAAGATGACTTACGAATTTTTATATGATTTGGGGCACTATTTCATGTAGCTGCTATATAGCCGATCTGGCCGATCGGCTATGATGATTTGGAGAAACATACTGCTCATTCATTACAATAATTATACTTTTGCTAAGCCATTTTGAATGTTTAGTTTTAAATCGCTCTAGTTTACGGATGCACTTTGGCAAATGCTTTTTTATATAATTAACAAAATCTTTCACTTGTTTTGATATCAAACGCATTTGGTCTTCATTTAAACTGATATTATTGATATTCTGTAACACATATTTCACAAGTGCATCTTCTGAGCGATTGTTGCTTCTCCAAATTTCAATAAGCGCTGCATGGACAAACACATGTTTAACTGCAAAACACGTGTTGGCACAAAATAGAACAAAAAAGGCTAGTTACTCATTAATTAACACACTTTTGTTAATAACTTGGCATTTATACCTTTTTGCAATGCTTTGCCATTCACAAGTTACACTCCACGGAACACAACTACAATTTATAGATTTTATATAAAGCTATACATAAACGAAACATTTCACAGTATTACAACAACAGACAATTATGACAAAAAGGGCACCTCGTCTAAATTTTACATACCTGCACTAACGTTTTCCATAATTACACACTTTATTTTTTTCAATTTTATCAAATCAGAAGCACTTGAACTTAGCTGATCTTTACTGCCAGTTGTACCAAAACAAAGTGACTTTCAAACAGTTGACTTTAAAAGCTCGCCAGCAAAAAAGGGTTGCCACCCATATTGATATTAAACATTTTTTTTTCTAATATGGGTATCTACATTTAGGAAATCAGTTAAATTTCAAAATATGAAACCAAAAAAAAATGACTTTATGCCAAAAAATCATGCTTTTTACCCATAGTGCAATCTCCAACCAAGGAAGGTTTTTGCCTCATTTTCTAAGTTACTATTCCCAAAAAGTTGTCATACAGATACAGTCCGAATGTAATGTAATTCAATATTAAACAAGATTTGACATATGGCCCAAGAATCAATTTTGAAGGATTAAAAGAGGTGGGAGTAAAAATATAGCCCTGATTGAATCTGGTGCCTATTCTACTTATTTTATTGATCCATAACCAAATTGCTATAAATATGTAATATTGATCTTAAGAATATAAACCCTTTGAATATATATAAAAACCTGTTGCCCTAGATTATTATACCCTCAGCCTAATGGATACAGAGGATGGTAAATCATTTAATACGGCCTCATTGATGTATTGGGTTTTGGCTCTAGCTCTGTGCATGAAATAGGTTTTAGGAGATATGGAGTCGGCCTAGTGGTATCCGACTCTGTCTGGCTAGCTTGTGCATGATAACTCCCAAAGGAAGTATTCAGTTTCGGCCAATTTTGATACATCGTAATATATTCAAATTTCGAAGTTCCCATTCGCAAATGGAGGAATTCTGTTCACTCATTCTGGTACTTCCCCCTTAAATGTCAACATTCTCAATAAAAATAAATTATCTTGTAGAAAGCAATGGGGCCACCCCACAAGGGGTAACAATTTGACCAAAATTAGTACCCGATGCATTTGGATCTTAAAAAATCGTAACATTAACATAAAATATATGGCAGGTGGAAATAGGAATGTATAAGTCCAGTCATACCTGTACCTCCCCTCCCACCAACTCCCCGCCCTTCCAATAAACTAACGTTTACAACCCACAAAACTTTCTATGGGAGTCAATACCCTAAATGAAATCTCAGCCATTGATCTACAAATGTACTCATTTCTCAGTACAAGAGTACTACAAATAATATCTTCAAATTACATTTAATGCTATTATGCTTAATGCTATGCTATGCGATAATCGACGGAACACTGACCAATTTCTCTTAGAATAAAAGTGATTTTCTTCTATCCCCCCACTTGCAGTTCATATTTAATCAAGCTACCATTGAAGCCAAAAATAAACTTTCGGCGAATAGCATTTGATTGAAAACAAAACAATTTTCAATTTCAATAGCTAGAAAATCATCGTCATCATCATTATCGTTATCGTTATAATGGAAGCGTTTGCATCCACTCAGCTACGTCCGTTCATTGAAAACTCCAGTAGATTGCAATTTGAACCAGACGCTCAATTATTATGCAAATTTTATGCAAAGTGTCAGTTCTTTTTATCCCGTTGCTCAACAACATCGACGAACACCCCTGGTGGGTGAGTGAGCAAGCGAGTGACCATGTGCTATTTGCCCAGCATAATGGAAATTTCATATCTAAGCAGCATCGTCGTAAATCATGGCCCATGAAAGATATTTTGCAACACTATGTTAATGCATAAAACAACCTCTGAACGGGCCATAGAAATGCATTTACCAGCAGCTCGACTCCACTTCTCAAATCGATGGTGCAAGAAATGAATACAGCTGGAAAAAAACAACTCAGAGTCCCGTTCCATTTGGTTGGGTAATTTGAATGAAATGCATTCGTATGCATATTCTCAAATCTCCTCCACAACCACACCTCCCATTCTGGGGCATATCTTCGTACACACATTTCCACAAGGCTGGCTAATGGTAAACATTAATCCCAACATGTTTTTCCGTATTGTATTGATTCTTCAACATACACACACAAACACACTCATACATGCTTACCCACACATATGTACACATGGAAGATGAAACGTATGGATTTGATAGAGTTCTGTCCCATTATTTATGGGGATGAAAATGTGGATGGTGCCTGTGAGGATGAGCATGAGGATGGCGACGCCAACGATGAGTGGCCAAAAGTTTTCTTAAAAATTCCAATTTCCTTTGAATTATCTTTTGGCATGCAAGCGGTCAGTTTTCCATCGACTGATTGATGACCAAACAAGTTCCGTAATTGACAGGAAATGATGAGTGTATACTGTGTTAATATATCGATAAATTTTAAATATGGTCGGAAAATTTGTTGGGGCATATACTTCAAATGGTATTTTTTCCACTGTATTTGCATGTTTCTTAAAGCCAATGGAGTAGATTTTGGGCGAAATATGATTTTGGGGAATTTTAATTCCAGAAAAGGAATTCAAGGAGATAATCAATGTTGAAACAGAAACAGTGATGATTAGTATCTGTATTGATTCCTCTATTTACTTATTAAATACTTACCACTCAAAACATGCACCCTAACACTGGCCACATCGGCATTTGATGGTGCACACGAATATTTGCCCGAATCGGCTAAATCTGCATTTTGAATTAGCAAATATGAGGTGGTCACATCACCTTTTTCGGTGATGACAGAAACGCCACCACGTGTCGAATCGTAATTTATGACCTGCAAAGAAAATAATTTTAGAAAATTGTTAGTTATTAAGTTTTTTTTAATACAATTGAGAATGTCGATATAATGAAAGTTTCCAAAAATTAACTATCATTGACTTACCTCTTCATGGTGATACCAAAATATATAAGCTGGCGGTTCAAGGCTAAATTTAACGGTACATGTTAAGTTGATGGTACTTCCTTTATCAACATGGAAATCGGGACCTCCATGGATGGTTGCTGTGGGCACTGTGAAAATGAGAAGAATTGTGATAAGATACTTCATTAAAAGAACTAGTCCTTGAAAAATCTCTTTTAAAAATTAAAATTATTGGATGTTCTTAAAAAAAAGTCTAAAATTCGCGATGATATTCTTGAGGTACTTAAGAAAAAAAAAAATAATAATAAAAAAATAAAAATATATGTATATCAATTTTTAAAAAGTATTTTGACTTGCGATTATGACTCCCTTTATTTGGATGATACCAGAGAAGTGGGCCAATATTTTTCATTTCGCATGTGACCTAATTCTGATATAAATATTGCAACTAGCCAGTTTTGGAATATATCAACTACTTCCTCACTTTATTTGATATAGTTGTATATACTTATATATATGGAACTTTTGTGGGGTAGTACGAGAAAAAGAAGAGCCATGCGTTCCTCTTTCACACTTTATCTTACACTGATACAAATTTTGCGATTTGCAGAAATTTTGCATTAACCGAAGTAAAAGGAAAAATTGAAGAAGGAGTGGATCGAAAAATTCCATATTCACATCTAACCTGGGATTAGTGAAACTTAGAGATACTCTTAGTGTTCGCATGCTATAAGGGTTATATTTCATTCAAAATCTTAACCATTTGTGAGCGAAGTACTAGAAGCACTGGTCCGCTAAATCCAATCTTCCCACAAGAACATGTGCTGATAAAAAATATTGTGAAGTTTGATGACAATCGGACTCTTTTTTCATATTTTATAGGTAATATGATTACTCACAATGTTGATCATTTGTTGGGGATGTATTGGAAGGTGTAGGCGTAGGCCGATACTGTCTATTACCTCACCTGACCTAACACTGATTTAAAATTTAGGTTTTTCAAAGTTGTAACACAGTCGGATGCTTCTTTCTTGGTCTCTGAAGTAAAGCATTTTCTGAGAAAGTGTCGACCTTTTTGAGGTATACACCAGGAGGTAGGCAACCATATTGCCCATCTCCGAACTAGATCTATGTTTAATAATAATATTACAATATGCCAATGTTTGAACCAAATCGAAAGTTATCGTGCGCGCCAATCTGTCAGACTGACAAACGAACACCGCTACATCGACTCTGTCCAAACAGAGTTAGAGTCTAAAACCGTTATATATGCGAAGCACATTTGGCCATATTTAAGAACATATACCATCTGTAAAATTATTAAAAACATCCAAATTGTAGACATCAAGGTCCCTGAGAAAAAAATTATTTAAATATTCCACGAACACGACGGTCCTTGGTGAAAATATTCTTTCACTAGTCCACGGTATGAGCATCGTATTATTTAAAAATTCATAAAAAATCCATTAAAAGTCTTTGGTAAAATATCTCACAAAAATTCTCGATTACAGTAATGGGGGTTTTGAAAAATATCGCCTGAAAATCCAAGCTTCTTTTTCAAAGAAGTATATGTATGCCTCACAACACTATGTGTTGGTGTGTTATAAGTTTAATTGGGCCGACATAGGAAACTATATATGGATCTTCCTATCTCGCCAAGCTGAGTCGATCTAGCTATGTATATCGGTCCGTCCATGTTAATATGTAATCACGAACCATGAAATTGGAAATGGAGGTGCGGTTAGGGTCAGAATAGGAACCTATTTGTTTTTGGCCAAAAACAGAAAAATTAGAGTTTAGGGCTGGGCAGAAGCCTTCTAATTGGTACGGTCATCGGACAGTATTCAGCGGGTAAAATAGGCCCTAACTTTAATATGAAAATTTCCACTAAACTGCGAATAATTTTAATCCCTGCCAAATCACATATACATTAAAAGGTCACTTCTGATATCGGATAAATAGCAAAATAGGTACAATATATATGTAAAAGAAATAGATCTTAGTTATTCCGCTTATAAGTTAAGAACCACTGCACTGATTTTCACAATTCTCATCAATTCGGAATGGTCTCTTGTCAGAAAAGGGCAATGTCTAAGAAAATCGCAAAAAAATATGACAATAAAAAAGTGAATATTATTATTATTTTTTTTAAGATTTTGTTATATTTTTTTATCGCATGTGTTTTTTTTTTTTTTCAATTTGACTTACAAATTTAAAATTGCAAATTTTCTAAAGTTTTTTCTACACCCTGCAGCACTATGTATTGAGGCCGCAATTATTGATCCTCATGAAATGGTAGGGGGTAGGGTTAGAGTTGGAATTATAGCCTACTCTTTTTGACCAGAAAAATTAAAATTGGACCAGAAAAAATAAAATTTTCCTGTCATTGCAGTCACTCTGCAGGTCATAATTAAAAACCAATCGACACGGAATTTTGTATGAGAAGAGAGTTAAGGACGGGGAAGAAGTTTAGCATATTGGATGACCATTGGATAATATTTAACTGTGAAACGGACCACAACTTTCGACTAAAATTTTTTGAATACCTAATAACACGAGGGAGTGCATAAATGTTGGGAAAATGCACCCGATCAAAAAGCTTAGAGTAACATCTGTGCAGGGCTCTATGACATCATTTCAAAAGCGGAATCTTCTAAATTCGATTTAGATATAAGGGGGCTTTCAAGATATTGTAGTGTTGTAGGGTATCATATGGTCGGCGCCGCACGACCATAGCCTTTGCCAAATAATTATGAAATATGGTGAGACTGCTTAAAACAGTAACAGTTCATAAAGAAAACATTTATGAACATATATTTTATCTGTCCAAAAGTTACAGAATTGTGATAAAAACACGATTCTGAATCGCGTTGCTACTTAAAAATCCACATTAAAACTTGTTGTATGGTGAACTGTTTTTTATATAGTCGACTACATCACTGTTCGATCAAATTAATTTTATTTGTTTTTCTTTTTGTGGTGCTTAATAAAAATTCCTCTTACTACTTCGTTTTATTTAAATTTGTATTGCGCCACCAGTCAAAAATGTTTAAAAACTGCTATATTTTTAACTTTATTACAGACAAAAATAATCTTTAAAAATATTTATTTGCGTGTATTGCCCAGAGTGATATGTTTATGAAAACATTTTTTATAAAACTATTCTTTTTCTTTCTGAATCTCAATTTTTGAAACAAACTCATGCAAGTTTTTCAATGTTTCCTCGAGGCAAGTTCACTCGTTTAGTTTAATTTGCAATTCTTTGTCAGTAAATAATAAAAAGACACACACACACTCGCATTGACACCCACTTACCCACAACATGTAGATCCACAAAATAACTACGAACGGGTTGTGTTGAAATTTGACATTCAAACATGCCGGCATCTCGTTTTTGTGTCCATTTGATCTGTAGCATCCAATCGTCGGAGCCATTGTGATGAATCGCCTGGAAACGTAAATCTGTTGTATATGTATAGGTGCCGACTGTCAAAATATGCATATCGCGATGTCGAATCCAGGAAACCTATAAAACGGAATGACCAAAAACAAACAAAATGAGTTATCCAGGTTGTATGTTCAATTAAATTATTTGTGAAAATTAAAAAAAAAAAGAAAAAATTGGTGGCCGATGGAAATTTTTGTGAAATTGCTGAACTGGAAAAATTCTCAAAATGGCCAGTTATTTTATAGAATTAAGATAGAAATCACATAACAAATATTTTCAAGTTTTTACTTTTATTTTTTTTTTTTATATGTTGGGGATATCATAAGTTTGATTGGGCCAAAAATTATGTAACACCTCGAAACATTGGTCCCCGGCAATGGAATGGATCTTCCTATCTCGCCGAGCTGTCAATGTTAATTTGTAGTCACGCTACAGGTCGCAAATGTGGCCCATTTATCACGAATTCGAAAATGTAGGTGGGGTTAGTTCTGAATAGAATCCTATTGCTTTTAGAGATGATCGCACAATATATTTATGGGTTGAAATTGACCAAATAGAGAATTTTTTTCTGATTTTGCTGTTTCTCTACCGCCCACAATTATAGACCAAACGACGAAATTTAGCATGGAATTAGGAGTTAGGGCTGGGCAGAAGCCTGCCAATTTGGATGGTCATCGAACAATATTTAGCCGGTAAATAGACCATAACTTTTGTGAAAAAATTCGAAATTTTTCACTAAACCTCCAATATTTTTTAATCCCAAAGAAGTCACAATTACATTATAAGTGCTGATTTTCATAATTCTCATAAATTCGGAATAGTCTCTTGCCAGAAAAGGATAAAATCTGACAAAATCGCGATTTTTCGATTTGACCTACAATTTTGAATTGTAAATTTTCTAAAGTTCTGTACAGGTCGCAATTATCGTACGATCCTCACGAAAGTATGAGTCAGAATTAAAGCCTATTGTTTTAGAAGATAAAGATGCACATTAAGGAGTTCAAATGGACCAAAAAGTTAATTTTTTTCTGATTTTGCAGCCTGTCTACAGGTCAAAATTAAAAACCAATCGACACGGAATTTTTCATGAGAAGAGAGCTAGGCACCGGGAAGAAGTCGCGCATTTTGGATGACCATTGGATTATATTCAGATGTGAAATTAACCACAACTTTCGTGTCAAATTGTTTTGTATACCTAAGAGCCTGACGGAGTGCTAAAATATTGGGGAAGTGGCCCCGATCAAAAACCTAAGGGTAATATCTGGGCAGGGCTCTAAGACAGTATTTCAAAAGAAATCTTTCCAAATGGATTTTGACATAAGAGGGCTTCCAAAAAACTGTAGTGTATCACATGGTCGACCTCGCACTACTATAGACTTTGCTTACTTGTTTTTTTAATACCCTCAGTCATGTGGCTGGAGAGAGTCCTAATCAAGGCCTGGTGTTAAGATGAAATATACCGATCCACTCCTTCTGGTACCTCTCCCAAAAAACGGTCGAAATGTTAAAAAATATATTTCCTGCACAGAAAAAGAAACGATAATCCGATTTTGCCCCAACTTTGCAAATCCAAATATTTGCGTCTCTACTATGTCAAGTGCGAAAATTGACAATATCGGTCCACTCTATCAAGTACCTCCCACACAATGGGTCAATGTTTTGAATAATAAAATTTCTTAGTCAAAATTTTGATTACTAATTAAGCTCATGAAACGCGAAATAAACAACCGATTCCATTTGAACTTGCCACATCTGAATATTTCTATCAACACTGGATCTGTTATAAAGCAGGTAGAGATCGGACCGTTCCTTCTGGTCCCTCCCCCACAAAAGCTCAAAGTTTTGAACAACCAAATTGTTTATAAAATTCGAGATAAGCATCAGGTTCTCCTTGTATATCACACATTCCATTATTTCTACTAACACAAAATATGTTATGAAGATGGGATATATCCCCCTCGTCCCCTCTTCCTGGTACCTCCCCCACCAAGGGTCAAAATTTTAAATATCCATGGAGCTCATAAACCGTGAAATTAAAATTAGATTCCATTCACGCTTGGCCTATCTCAATGTTTCCATCAACATAAGACCTGTTATGAAGACGGTAGAGATCGGACCATTTCTTCTGGTAGCTCTCCCCATAGGGATCAGGATTTTGAGAAACCAAACGCTTAAAGAAAGCGAAATAAGCATCCAAATCCAACAAATGCTAACACAAGATCTGTTGTGAAGATGATATACATCTGCCTCATCCACAAAGGGTTACAATTTCCAATACTTATATCTGTCATAACTTGCGAAATAAGTCGGCGATTCTTTACAACTTGCTTTATCTAAATTTTTCTCTCAGCCAGAAACTTGGCATGAATATGGGTTTTATGATGAAGTTACCAATATAGACCAAACCTGGGACGTCGCAACATTTATATCGTATTTATTTAGGTTTGATATGAAATGGACAATATTCCTTAAGACCTCCCTCCATAGAGGGTCAAGTGTCAAATGTCAAAATATATTTAAATAATCGAATATTGGCTGAGGAGAGCCTGTTGGCGGAACCGACTGATACTTTTTAACTTTTTTTTCAAATATTTTTGGAAATAAATTTCAAGCTTTAGTAGTTCTGAAAGGCAAGACAGGATTATCGAAATTTATTGATAAAAACAAACTTTTAGTTGTTTTTATTTTAGCTAATTAACGTTATTTATCAATAAGTTAGCGACGGAATTTAAGTTAAGTTTTAGTTAATTTTCACATGGAAATTTTTCGCTTGAAAGTTACCGACTTTTGTCGCTAAAGGCAAACTTGGTGAATTCCACAGCTGGAATTTTGCTAAGCTGAATAACTTAGATTTAAAAATATATATAGTTAAGGTTTTTTCTCCTGCCAATAATCATAGGCCAATTAAAGTATACAACTTTTCCACTCCAAAACAAAGAAATCGCATTATTCTCTTCTTTGTTTGTGTTGTGAAATTTTATGTTGAGGACATCTTAATTAACTTCCAGCTTGTTTCATTTTGTTTAACAAATATCAAGAACATTGTAAGTTTCAACGTAATAATTCTTATGTGTGTGTTGGTGTGCGTGCGTGTGTGTGTGCGTGGTTGTACTTAACGCCACGAACAGCGACAGCAGCCGCATATCAAGGAAGTTACTTAACAACCAGAGTTTTATTTCGAAAAGTTTGTGCAATAGAAAGAAGTTTCTCCAGGTTATGTATGTTACAATGTGAAATTGCTTCACATGCAGTAGAATGCCTGCTACGCGGCTGTCTAAGATTTTGAAAAAGAAAATTTAAAACCCATTACATACTCTTTTGTAGTCATGTTACAATTTAAAGTTTCTTTTTAAGAGAATTTCGTAAATGAAGATTTTGGTTGGAATTTTGTTGACATGCCGGGATAGAGAAATTTTGCAAAATTTTATATCTCATACATTAGAAAGGATGTTTTATGAACGTACGTCTCTCTAAAGAGAAATCCTGAAACTCGACGCGCCTGCAATTGAAGAAAACTGAGAGCTAACATTTCGTATTCAAGGAACTCAGATGTGTACACATTCTTCAATGTTACCATTTTAGCAATTATGTCCATAAAAGGAAGAACAAACGTCGGGCTGCTCCGAGTGTATGAAACTTTACACCACTATGCATACCCGAGCGAAAAAATTTACGCTTATATTGGGAATTTATGGGAAATATATTATATCAACTATGATCGTTATTGAAAGCGCATCACTATTTTAGAGCTATTCAAATTCCAAATCAAATGGAATTCAAATATGGTGACTACTGATGCAGCCAGAAATGCATTTCGAAACTATTTCGTGGGGGGTCAAACTTACAAAAAATTAAAATTTAAATGCAGAATTATTTGAAATAATCTTAAAATGAACCATTTGGTAGGAGGCCCGTGTCGCTCTCTTTATCTCAATTCGTTTCAGCTAAATTTCACGGAGATATAATTTTCTGCTGTATGAAACCTTTCATTGCTACTGATTGTGTGTTATGTCTTTGAGAAACCTTAAATTTACAATGGAAGGAAACATAAAGGGTGAAATGAAAAAAGTGCAACCAAATTCAGGCTGCTGTTACTTCTAAGCTCTCATCCGACAGCTGTTAAAATTATTCCAGCGACAGCTCATTGTTTACAAGCGTACAAAAGCATTTTGGTGAGAATTTTCCAGAAAAAAAGTTATTCGTGATGAAATGATTTCTTTTTATTTGGCTGGAAAACCAAAAGTGGCTATCGTTAGAGCACTCCAACATTTAAATGTGAATAAATCTTTTGTGTCTCGTACCATCGCTCGTTACAGTGATACTGGTAGCATAGCCCATTATCAAGGCAGAAAACAGCAACAACAGCAGAAATGGTTCGAAAAGTAAAGAAGCGACTTGATCGAAGCCCGCGTCGCAGTAGCCAGTTGAAAAATGAGCTCAGAAAGAAAATAGAGTCAAAAGAGCTAAAGATTTGCTTCGCTTGGCCGAAAGTGGTGAACTGCCGAATTTGGTTTTCTCCGATGAGAAAAAATTCGTTGTCTAGCATTCTGTAAACAAACAAAATTATCGCGTTTTCTTGCCAAAGAGGTCAGCTGAAAATGTGCAGCTTCGGTTGGCCAACAGAACTCAAGCACTGGTCATGGTAATGTTGTGGGCCGCCAAAAAGCCGATGGTCGCACCCCGCTCGTATTAATCGACCGTGTCATCGCGAAAATATTCTGTAGGGTGTATTAAAGCTTTGGGCACGCAAACATTTTAGCCGCAGTTCTTGGACATTCCCAACAGGACTCAGCACCATCGCACTCAGCACGCGCCACCCAAAAATGGTTACAAAATTAGATTCCTCGCTTTATTTCCAGTTCACAATGGCCACCAAAATCTCCGGATTCCAGTCCGTTGGACTATTGTGTGTGGAGTATTTTGGAAAGCAATGTTGGCACCAAAAAATGCCAGTGTCGATCACCTCAACCAAGCGCTTCGACGGGAATGAGCAACATTTATTGGCACTTTGAAGGGCATAGTTCGTGACAAAGGGGACCAATTCGAACGAATCTAAACTTATTCTAAAATTTGATGCTTTTTCCGAAATTTTTTGGTTTCATTCAAAAAAATTTAAAAAAAAAAAACTAAAAATCATGTCATTTGACTTTGTTGCAGTTTTTTTTTTTTCATCTCACCCTGTTTATACTTTATTGGGTCTAAAATTATTATTTCAGTGAGTTACAAACGGAGTGACGAAATTTATATACCCTCCATGTTTTCTTCAATTCAATTTCAATTGAAGCGGGCTCGTCTGTATAGACATATGCTTTAACATTGATATAGACATAGAAACGTATTAAATTGCACGATCTAGGTGGTCAAATGAGCGGTCCCAAATGTGAAATAAAATGTTCACCGAACTCGCTTCTCAATAAGTCCGTTGCTGTATTTTGGGCAAAAAAAAGTTGGTAACGCTCAGCATTCTGAGTTATGAAATGTTCGCAGCATCTTTAAAGACGTACGGTCCATATATGCCACCTGTCCAAAAACCATACCAAATTGTGAAATTTTAGCTTTTTCAATGCTTCTGTCAGATCTTCGCTCCAAAATTGACTATATTTGATAGTAATTTCAGGAGTTTGGCATTATATTTCCCACCGAATATGTATCACAAAGCAATATAAAACATACTCACAAAGAACTGGTAATGTAGGTCCGTTAAAAATATACCATTTTTCAATGAAATTTTAAGAAAGTTAGGGTTTTGATTTCATTATTTGTGCCAGAATTATGGCGATGCTATTTTTAATTACAAGAAGATGTTGCGATTAGTTGGTTTTATTTTCCGAAAATCCTCATAGATCTGGACCCAATATCTTCCAAAAGACTGCGATCCCTAAAAGTTACACAAATAAAGCATTGGTTTTTAATGAAATAGATATAGCACTGCAACGTTGCATTTGCTCTATATTAAAGTCATTTGCCGTGATTCCTGTAAGTTTTTTGCTATATCTCCAATAACTGACTTAACACGTCAATGTAAAGAGGTCAGCAGTGACCTTTACGATTTCACTTTTAGCTTTGAAAGCTTTCTGCATTTAAAGTATTCAACAAATATTTTTTGTTTTTTTACAGAAAATTTGTGGTTCATTTCATCCGCTAAATATGATCTGATGACCATCCAAAATGATTTCTATACTATCCAAAAGTCTAACGACCTGTAGAGCAACTGAAAAATCAGCAAAGAATTTTTTATCCATTTCAACCCCTACAGAAAATGTGATGGTGAACATCTCCGAAAAAATGGGTTTCTATTATAATCTTAACCCTAACTATGTTTGGGAAGGTCAGTCCATAATTGCGACCTATAGAATAATTGCAGATTAATATGAATAGACGGACAGATGGACACACATACATAGACATTCTAATCTCGTCGAAATCCGAACATCGGTATATAACATTGTAAGTCTACACCAATATATCGAGGTGTTACAAACTTTTTGACCCAGTCAAACATATAATAATCTCAATACATTGTTTTGTAGAGTATAATAATGAGTAAGCTAGACTTTTTTTTGAAAATAAAAAAAATTATGACGATTTTCTAGACTATTAAACAGCCCTGTCAACACAAAATTAGACCCAGATCAAGATAAAGAAAGTGTTCCGCATGGTTGTCACCATTATTTTAAAGAATCTTAAAATCTAAGTTTTGAGATGCTTTTACTCACCGTTTTATTTCCCAAATTCCGTACCCGACAACTGAGATATGCCGATTTTCCCATTAGTGCCGTTACATTACGCGGTGTGGTGGGATCAAAATAGGGATCAATCCAAGGCGGCGGTGTGTAGGATGGTGTTGTTGATTTTGCCAATGATTCCTCGTAGATTTTGAATGCATTGAAGGGCTCTGTGACTTCGCTTATTGTTACATCTGCAAAGATTTATAAAAATAAAAAATATTAATAACAAACTCAACAACCATCATTAATCGAAGAAATAAGTATCCTTTCGTTATTATTATATTTATGTCTACGTTTTGTTATGCCCTTTTTCGCCCAAAATTTCATTTTCCACTTAAGCTTGTCTATGCTTAATATTCTGTATAAAATTGACTTCATCTCCCGTTTTATTTTCTTGTCATTGAGCTAATGTTTTCATCACCGCATACATTGCATGTGTATTGGAAAAGATTGTGGATTTTTAATGTATGTTATTCTTTGGATGTTTGCACAGCTGTCGAGGATGACGATGGCGACGTCGATAGGGTCTTACATTGTTAAAAATGTATCTATCTCCCTCTCCCTATTGATGTCAGTGGTCTGTCAATGTTATTGTGATTAATTGTATTTTAAATCTATAGAGACACATTGTCGTATGTCATCTGTTCAATTGTGTGTTCTGTGTGAAAATATTCTGGGAACTCGAATGAGTCGCAAAAGAATATGTTAATTTTTGGGGTGGGTGGAGATATTTTTAGATGCAAGTTAACAAGTATTTGACGGGCATTTTTGGTGGTAAGCAACAAAAATGCTGACTTTTTTTGCAGGATTCTAGATCACAAAATATCAGTTGGCAGTGAAATGGTGATAAAAAAATTAACAAAACCATTAGGGTTAGAAAACCCAAAACGCTGGCTTAAGTCACCGCCCAGTTTTTCGTAGGAGAACAAAGGAGCATGGGAAGAACAAGTATAATTTACTGGCCAAAAATTATCTATATCAACCTAAAACTCCTTTATTTTTGTACGAGAAAGCCAGGCGATGAATTAAATCGGTAAAAAAGCTTTCAATGCACCTGCACCTTTAGAACCATAACCGTGGATGGATATGCAAGAATAATTAGCTGTTTTGGCTACTAGATTTTTAATAGTGAATATTTCATATTATCCCAATAGGCTTACAAATGTAAATATCTTAGAATATCCAAATACACTTACACACATAATCGTGGAATAAACAAAAACACATTTTACTCAGTAAAGCTAAAAATATAGGACACGCAAATTAACTCAAATATGAAGGGCAATTCTCCCTCTTCCACGTTATTTGAATTTTTCGAATAAAGATCCCTTTGGAATCCTGGCATTTTGGGTATATAATGTCTTTGGTAATATTACTGGCAATAATACGAGGATTTCTTATGTCAAATTTTAACTCTCAAGCAATCACCAGACGTGTCACTTTTGGTCTTTTTTGTCAGTAACAATCTCCGGTCAAACGTGATTATAGAAAATCAAAATATCAAAAAAAAAAAAAAATATTAATTATAAAATTCTACTGTAGATCCCAAAATACGATGACGGACTAAATCGTAACTAAGCGCCAGGAATTCGTGTGAATTTATGCAAAACTCTCCCATAATCTTATTTAAAATGATTCGAGAGTTTTGTTTAAATAATCGATTTTTTTGAGGCTATTTTTTATAGAACCCCATATAAAGTCAAAAATGGACAATTATGGGAGGTCATTAAATACCAATATCAAATTATACCAAATTGTAGTCTACATCCTAACCTATTTCAAAATGCTTCAATATATAGCAAGTGCCTCTACTTCGTCAGCCAAAATCCATTCTGAAATTTTTGGCCAGTTCGTTTTAGGCCTTTTCACTGCTCCAAAAGCTCAATTCAATTCAGTGAGATGTTTAACTTTTACACCAAAAAATCTTCAAATTCTTTCATTTTAAAGTTTACCGTGAAGAAAATTAGTAAAGATATTGAAGACAATGCACCCGAATTAAATTTTTCTTCTTAGTACTTCTAGTACATACTACTCCGAATTTCCGAAAACCAGCTTTATCTCACAACTACCCACCAACACAAAGTATATATATTCGATGTCCATCCGTCTGTGGAAATCACTCTAGCTTCCGAACGAAGTAAAGTAGGTTGATAAAATTTTACTCAAATGTATATTATATCTGCAGGACTTTTGGTATTGAAAATGGCCCATGTAGGTCAACTTTTTAGTATAACCCCATGTAGCAGTACCTCCTGATATTCGGTATTTTGATGATTTTAGCGACATTTTTCACCAGAATTGTTCCAAATTTGGTACCTTAAGTTTGTAATGGATACTACAGCTTATGACAGAAAATTGTCTGTGCAGGTCCACGACTTTGTATAGGCCTCATATAACGATACCTCCTGATATTCGGTATTTTGATGATTTTAGCGACATTATTCACCGGAATTGTTGCAAATTTATTTTATATTTAAAGTTCGTAATGGATAATAGAGCCTATGACAGAAAGTTGTCTGTGCAGGCCCACGTCTTCGTATAGCCACCTTATAATGGTACCTCCTTACATTCAGTATTTTGATGATTTTAGTTACATCATTCCACGAATATTGTTCAAGTTTCGCATTTGAATATTGTAATGACTTATGACAAAACTTGGCTTTGCAGGTCCACGTCATCGTACACACCCTAATATAACGGGTACATTCGGTAATTTAACAGAATTTTTAACGGATTTTGTTTATTTATTTTTATACCCTACAACACTATGTGTTGGGGGTATTATAAGTTTGATTGGGCCAAAAATTATGTAACACCACGAAATATTGATTTCCCATATAGGAAAGTATATATGGATCTTCCTAGCTCGCCGAGCTGAGTCGATCTAGCTATGTATGTCCGTCCGTCCGTCTGTCCGTCTGTCCATGTTAATTTGTAATCACTCTACAGGTCGCAATTATGGTCCGATCTTCACGAAATTTAAAATGGAGGTGGGGTTAGGGTCAGAATAGAAGCCTATTTCTTTTGGAGATGATCGCCAAATGTTTAGGGGTTGAAATGGACCAATTACTGAAAAAATATCGGATTTTGCAGTAGCTATACAGGTCGCAATTATAGACCAATCGACGCGGAATTTCGTATGTAGCTAGAGTTTAGGGCGGGGAAGAAGCCTACCAATTACGGTGGTCATCGGATAATATTTAGCGGGTAAAATAGACCATATCTTTTGTGTTAAAAAAAAATCAACATTTTTCATCAAACCGCGAATTTTTTAAATCCCGGCGAAATCACTAAGCCATGACAAGGTTACTTCTGACCTTTACATTGATGTTAACATCCAACAAATCGGATATCTAGCAAAATATGTGCTATATATATGTCTATCAAAGAAGATATGCTTGAAAGATCTGTTATATGTCGAGAACGGCTGAACTGATTTCGACAGTTCTCATTAATTCAGAATGGCCTCTTGGCAGGAAACAAAAAACGTCTAAAAAATCGCATAAAAATATCTCTCTAAAGATGAAAATATTGATTTTGTAAATTTTCTCATATTTTTTCAATTTTGTCATATTTTTTGCATATTTTCATTTTGAATTAAACATTTGGTAATATTTCTACAGCTAACAAAACTAAGTAGTTAGGATATCAGGATATCATATACAGATCGCATTTATGGCCCGATCCTTACGAAATTTTGCATGGGGATAAGATGAGGGTCAGAATAAAAGCCTACTCTTTTTGGAGATAATCGCCATATATTTAGGGGTTGAAATGGACAAAAAAACTGAAAAATTGTCAGGAAGTCGTAAATATCGCCCGATCCTCACGCGAATTTGAATGGAGGTTACCGGACATTGCAAAAGCCAAATAGTTTTGGATGGCCATCCAAAAATATTCAATGTGTGAAATAGTTTGCCAAATTTTCTACACAAAATACGAAAATATCCATTCCAGTGACTTTTTGGAGAATTCACAAATACAGGAAAGACGCAATTCTTACTATTTCGTTAAGGCTGATTTCGTTGAAGAATATAGTCAAATGTCTGTATCTCATATAGATGCGTTTTAGTCAAAAACCAATAATGAATGTTAATCTTTTTGCCACTTCTGAGAGATTATAGGTCTTTGGGAAATATTGGTTCCAGATCTAGGAAGTCCATTTACGTGCAACATCTACCAATAAATTGGAAATTAGCAAATTCGTTTAAGTTTCTATTATTCGAAAATTAGAGAACGAAACATGATGGTTTTCTTTTATTATTTGTCACAACATCTTGTGGAATTCTTTCGTGTATCTCGCCTATATAAACTGTATGGTTTATTATAGTGTTGTAGGGTATTCAACGGTCGGCCCGCTCGACTGTAGCCTTTGCTTACTTGTTTTGTTTTTTTTTTTTTTTTTTTTTGTTTTTTTTTTTTTTTTTTTTGAAAATTGCCAAATTCGTTCCAAATGGTGGAGGATATTCAAACTTCGGCCCGACCGAACTTACAGCTTTTGTATTTGTTTTTGTTATTATCAATATCGCTGTTTCTGGTACTTCCCCGAAAAAGGTCGAAATTAAAAAGAAATACTGCAAAGAAAGAAATAGAATAATCCGTGTTTGCTTCAATTTTGCAAATTCTAATACGTCCGTCAGTGCTTCGTCAGGTGCGAAATTGTACAATATCGGTCCACTCCATCAAGTACCTCCCTCCAAATGGTTAACATTGTGAATAATTATAACTCTTATAAAATGTGATGAGAGGATCTGATTATGTCCAAATTACATTCATCACAATTTATATAATAACCTAAGGTCTGGTGTGAAGATGTGATACATCGCTCATCTATTTCTGGTACATCCCTCCAATAGGTCAAAATTTGGAATGTCCATGCAGCTCATAAAACGCCATTCAGACTTGGTACATCTTAATATTTCCATCAAGATCTGTAATAAATATGGGAGAGATCGGACCATTTCTTCTGGTACCTCCCCCACATAGGGTTCCGGATTTTGAAAAACAAAACGCTCAAGAGAGCGAAATAAGCATCCAACTCTCTTCAAATTTCACACATACAAACATTACATACATTCGTTCTAACACAAAATATGTTGTGAAGATGATATATATCTGCCAACCCCAAGTCAGCGATTCTTTACAACTTGCTATATCTAAATGTGTCTCTCAATCAGAAACCTAAGATGAATATGAAATTTATGATTTCGCATAAAATCGGATAAAAATGTTCGGTTTTCTTGTAATTTTGCCCGTACTAATATTTTTATCTGTATTAGATGAAGTATGAAAATGGAATACTTCGGTCGACTATATCTGGTACCTTACGCACATTTTAATTTTTTTAAAAATTATCACATATTTCATATAAATTGAAGGAAGTGACCAATATAGTCTAACCATGGCATGTCCCAATCTTTATATCATATTTATGCAGGACCGATATGAAATGGACAATATTAGCCCATTACTTCGGAAAGTACACCATAGAGGCTCAACAATTTGAATAATCATAACAGAAGTCAAAATATATTTAAATAATCGAGCATTGGCTGAGGGTGTACATTTGTCGGCAAAACTTTACTTTATATCTTGTTTTTTGTGTAATTACTCTATATACTGAAATTCGGAAAAATATTTGAAAATTTCGATATTCGAGGTCAAACGGAATTTTTATTTTTCCATATAAAAGTGATGGTAAAATTCATCCACTTAATATCATCCGATGACTACGCAAAATTGTATGCTTCTCGGAATAATACATAATAGGGTAAGTGCACTTTTAGGATTTTCGATTTTTCAATCTTTCAACATTCTGAGTGAAATCTTTAAATTACAGAAAAATAAAGTTGTTCAGGTTCCAAATTTTGTTTACTTTTCGAAATAACAAACAAAAACTGAATTTGTTTTTATTAAATTGGCAAAATTTGCAATTTTACTAAAATAGTAGTTTTTTTGTCAGTAGTCGGCACCATTTTCCAATGCTCGACATATCTATTTACCAGCAGTCGGCATATTATATTTCAGTAAAAAAAAAATATTATTTTGCAATTTTTTTATTTCAAATAGTATAAAACAATGCAACATTACTAAATTACAGTTTAATCCAGAATTTGAAATTGATTTCGTTAGAAAATATAGGTAGAATGTATGGATTTTTTTCTGTAATGTATGGATTTTCATTTAAAATAAAAATGAGATTAAAAAAAGAAAAAAGTAGCTTTCTTATATTTGGAATTTGTGAATTGATCTTTTTCCTTAAGATAGCCAACATTTTTTTTTTTTTTTTTTTCAAAAATGCCACCGCTCTCTAAAACGTCAAATAGCTGATTTAAAAAGCCTACTTAATTTAGAAAAGTTGGTCAAAAAGCACAAATAAAAGCAACTGCCGACTCAAAACTATTTTTTTATTTGAGTAGTTTTTGGATTATTTTTTAATAATTTTCTCAAGTTTTAGTGAAATTGGTCAAAAATGATATTTTTCTAGTAATCGGCCGACTACTGGAAAATCTCTTTTTTTCTGTTTCTAATGTCGGCATTAATTAATATAAATGTTTATTATAAAATATAAATGTTTATTATAAAATATTGCTGATTCCAGAAGTATTAAATTTAATTTACTCAAATCGATTATTAAGTTGACGCCATTACTAATTTTTTTTTCTTTACAAACTAGCACTATCGTACGCGTTGGAAGACACTCACTGACGAAACCCGTTATTCTTTCGTAATAAATGATCGGAGCTCATTGTTTTTTTACAGAAAGAGAGCAGAGAACACTGTTGACGTTTTTTTTGCAATTATTTCATTATTTGGTCAATTCTATTCTTAGTTATTAAAGTTTAAATTTCAAAACTGCTGACTACTAGGACATGCCGAACTTAGGCGCACTTACCCTACCTCTAGAATCTATTTTTTGAGGAGTTGCAAACTCTATAAAAAATTGTTGTCTTCAGATAAACACCATGCTCACACCTTCAAATATTTCAATAAAACATTTTGGATTTTTAGTTTTAATTGTGTTAAAAAAATCGAATCATTTTAAAACTGAGATGTCAAAAAATTGGGTTTTGTCCAGTAAAATCGACTCTTTAATAACTGTGGGCTTATTTCAACCGCGTGGCCAAAGTTTGACGAAAATTTGGTACACTTTTTCCCAGATTTGATGTAATGTTGTGTTGTGCGTGTGCTTAGACCTAGGATTTCGACTAGCCTGAGGATATAGACATATTTTATTATTTATTTGTACTACTTACCACTCATTATGATTACCAACAGGAGACAAGTCTCGCCGATATTCCGTACTAGGCCCTGTGTTTTAGGCATGATTTGATAGTTCGTCGGAACACAAGCGTTCCGAGTTATGTTTAGAGTTATTGCTTAAAATATTTTTTTTTTGCTATTGACTCATTGGTGATTGCGGTTCAATCCAATTGTACTTGTGAATTTATGTAATTCTGCCATATTAAGGATGGAAATCTGAAAAGATATAAAAATGAAAGTTTATTTCATATAATAGAAGAGAACATAGAATTTGCTTAACATAACTGGTTTTAACTGTATAGCTTACATATTAAATTAAAAGACTTGTCAAAGTCACATTTATTTTATCAAATTTTGACAGAGATCAAGCCATGATTATATTTTACATCCTTTCTACCATGGATCTTAAAACCAATCTCCAACAAATCTGCTACATATAAACTGTATCAGCATTACTTATATTTCTTGTGGGCCATGTGCATACTTTTTGGAAATTTTCCATTTTTGGTGGGAGTAAGCTTCGTATTCCATTCCAAATAACAACAAAACCACCAAACCAAGAAACAGAAACAGTTACAACATAATTTTCGTCGTAATGTATTTTCGATTACAAATTTATATTGGCAGATATGCAAAAATAAATATTAGGAAAGCTGTTGAAGCATAACAAATTACATTTTCCTTTCTGTTTTCTTTCCATTTGCATGTAGCCGAGCCAAGTCGTACATGGCGCGCTATGACGTTTGTTAAGAGTGTCTGACAAGAGCGCAACAAGACTATCATCAAAAGAAATATTCAAAATATTTTTTAAATGGATAGAAGATATTCCCAAGGGTGTCATGCTTGGCGGGCAGAGGGGGGAGGCAATACTTTTGAATTATGTACGAAAAAATACAAGAGAATACATTTTTACAGAACGAATGAAGAAACATAACCGACTGACAAGGCAAGTCAAGGCAAATGCATAAAACGAAAATTGTTCTCGAATAGCAAGTGTATTCTCAGGATTATACATTGGCACGAAAAGGAGAAAAGGAATGAAGTGCCAAAAATTTATTCATACATACATACTGTACACACATACATTGGTGTTTTTTCTGTTTTACACAATTGCGTGAAGCTGAGAAAAGTTCATAAGAACTCGTTAGAGGGTAAATTTTGCAACTAATTACTTTTTTCCTTTTTGGTTAAAACAGTGAGGGAAGGAGTGGGGAAAAATAAATGCAAATTGGATATTTTGGTTGCACTCCAATTTATTCACATGAAATGATTACGACTGAGGCATAAGGATTTTTCTTTCGTAATGGATTAAATTTAATTGGAAATTGTTAAGGTGAGTTTCACCAATAAGGATTTAAAATTTCATATTTTTATAATTTTTATACCCTACACCACATAGTGGTAAGGGTATTATGTCTTTGTGCATTTGTTTGTAACATGGAGAAAGAAGCGAAATAGACCCATAGTTATTTTTGAGGATCTCCATAGAATCACTTTGAGTTAATTTATGCATGTCCGTCCGTTCGTCCATGTATTCTTGTGCACAAAAGGCAGGTCGCATTTATTATCCGATTGAGATGAAATATTTGTTTGATCCAAGGACGAACCCTATTGAAATTGGTGAGAATCGGATCAAATTTAGATATAGCTCCCATATATATCTTCATCCGATTTCGGGTTAAATGTCCACCAAATATTCACTATCAGTCCAAATTACCTGTATTTTTGCACACCCAACCGAGTTCGGCCTAGAAGCAAGTATATCAAATTTGGAGAAAATCGGTTCAGATATAGCTATAGCTCCCATATATATCTTTCATCCGATTTGATCTTTAAGTCTCTCACATTCCTACTATGCACTCCACAACCGTGATATTTGGTACCAGGTATTAGATGGAGCACAGAAATAGCTGTTTTAAATTTTATCGAAATCGGTTCAGATTTGGATATAGCTCCCATATATATCTTCATCCGATTTCGGGTTAATTGACCACCAAATGGCCAATATCAGCCCAAATGGCCCGAATTTTGGCACATGTGACCGAGATTAGCCTTAAAGCAAATACAACAAATTTGGAGAAAATCGGTTCAGAAACAGCTATAGCTCCCATATATATCTTCATCCGATTTCGGGTTAAATGTGCACCAAATGTCCACTATCAGTCCAAATTACCTGAATTTTGGCACACTCAACCGAGTTCGGCCTAGAAGCAAGTATATCAAATTTGGAGAAAATCGGTTCAGATATAGCTATTGCTCCCATATATATCTTTCATCGGATTTGGTGTTTAAGCCTCTCACATTCGTAATACTCACTCTACAACCGTGATATTTGGTACCAGGTATTAGATGGAGCACAGGAATAGCTGTTTTAAATTTTATCGAAATCGGTTCAGATTTGGATATAGCTCTCATATATATCTTCATCCGATTTCGGGTTAAATGTGCAGTAAATGGTCAATATCAGCCCAAATCACCAGTCTAGAAGCTAATACGTAAAATTTGGAGAAACCCGGTTCAGAGATAGCTATAGTTCGTTAAATGCACGATAGAATTAGATAGATTTTGATTTTGTACCAAATATCTCATAGAGCTCTGAAATGCCCTGTATACACCTTTTTACGAGAGCTCTACTAAATATGCATAGTGGTGTAGGGTATCATATAGTCGGCCCCGCCCGACTTTTGAGCTTTCCTTACTGGTTTATTTTAAGTATTTGGCAAGAGATATGCGTATATGTGAGTTTTTAAAAAAGACAGTTACTAAGGACTATCTTAGCTAGGAATATTTTTGAAGAACTTTTTCCATTATATTTTCAATAATTTCAGGAATATATGCTGGGGGACAATCAAAACTATAAATGTAAATATTCCCCTTTTGTTTTTAAATACTATCAAGACAATAGTCATAGATATCCAAGAAATATTTTTTAAGAATAAACAGATGATAGTTTTTTTTTTTTTTTTTTGTGAGGCACCCAAAAACCAGCAGAGCAATGATTGAAGATTCTTGAAGAATATCTTTTTAATGATCACCTGAACCGCTGCTGCTGTTCAAGAAAAGTTTAGAACACTATCTGATTTATGATTCTGTTTTGTTTAATAATATTCTAAGGGTACTTTATCGTGTATTATTGTGAAAAATCCATCAACAGGTTCAAAATTGTGGATTTTTTTAAAGTAGGTGTTTACAGGATGGATTTTTAAAGAAATTTTGTAGGACAATCAAAGACATGATCCAGGAATTTGACAGGAATATTTTTCAGGGCCAATAAAAATGAATTTTAAGAAAAAAAAAAAACATTTTTAAGCCCAGCTGAGTTACAGATATACGCTGGGGCACAATGAGTTTCATTGGGCCAAAAAGTTTATAACACCCTGAAAAATTGTTCCTAGACTTACGATGTTTTTTTATGGATCTTCCTACCTCGCCGAGCTGAGTTGATCTAGTTATGTGTGTCCGTTCGTCCATCCGTCTATCAATGTTCATTTGTAATCACGCTACAAGTCAGAAAACTATCCGATCCTCACGAAATTTTGTTTTTAGTTGGGCATAAGGTCAGAATAGGAGCCAATTGTTTTTGGACATAATCGAAAAATATTTTAAATGGACCAAAGACGAAGTAATTTCTGGTTTTTTATTTTACGCACAGTTTTAGTACTCATTTACGAAGTCGTTCAATATCACAATTCTAGAAAAAAAAAAAAAAAAAACAGTTGTCGTAATACAAAATTCACGGTTTCACGTTTATTCATTCACCCAATAACAAATCTAGTTCAAGTTGTTCTTGTCGAACAATTGTAATACGCGTTTCCAAACCAACCTCCAAATCTTAACCTTTGATACTTACAGTGACATCTATATCAGCTGATTCCAGCTCAATACTCCACCCAATACCAAACTTTGTGCTATTTAGTACTTTTCGTACAATTATGGAACCCATTTCTAAAACCACCTCCATATCTTAATTCAAATTGCTAATAGAGACCTCCATATCAAATTTCGGGACTACAGCTTTATCCCTTCACCCAATACCCAATTTAGTACCACTTAGTACGTTTCGAACGATAATAGTACACATTTAAAAAACCATCTCTATATCTTAACCACAGACACCCAATTTTCCAAAACACCTCCATATCTCAATTACAGATATCAAGAGCTATCTAAATATCAAGTTTCAGAATTTTATCTCTATTCAGTACTTTTCATAGAATTAAAGTAATTATTTTCAGAAACCACCTCCATATTTCCAGGCTGTACGTGAAAAGCGAGCCTTATTCGAAATTTTCAGATTTCAAGCACCACCTGTTTACACAATACTAAATTATACCATATATATATAGTATAGTACTCTTTAATATTTTTCGTGCACTTGTAGTACCTATTTTCAAAATCACACACAAACCTAAGACCAACAGGGACCTCAATACAACATTTCAAAATTGCAGCTCTATTCGTTCACCCCATACCAAACTGCTCCAAATTAAGTACCATTCAGTACAGTTCGCCCACCTAGTACATATTTCCAAAAACACTTCCATATATAAGACTTATTTCGAACTTTGATTCTCTTAGTCTCAGTCTCTTAACCTTAGTACCTTTTAGTACTTTTTATTCTCTTTTAGTACGACTTTCCTAAAACCAATTTCAAGATTCTAGCTTCAGCCGTTTCGTATTGGCGTTGATTCTCACTCAGTCAGACAATCAGTTATGATCGGTTGCTTAAGAACATTTTTAAAGTTGTTTTTATACCCTCCACCATAGTATGGAGGATATATTATGTTTGTCATTGTGTATGTAACACCTTGAAATACACATTTTAGACCCCACAAAATATATATATATCCTTGATCAGCATAAAATTCTATGTGGATTTAGCGAGGTCCGTCCGTCTGGGGAAATCACTCTAGCTTCTGAACGAAATGAAGTAGGTTGATAAAATTTTACTCAAATGTGTATTATGTCTGCAGAATTAAAAATGGTATTAAAAATGGGTTATGTAGGTCCACGTTTTGGTATAGCCCCCATATAGTGGTACCTCCCTTATTCGGTATTTTGGTGATTTAAGCGACATTATTTACTGAAATTGTTTCAAATTTGGTATTTGAAGTTCGTAATGGATACTACAACCTGAGACAGAAAATTGTCTGTGCAGGTCCAAGTCTTTCTATAATTCCCATATAACGGTACTTCCCAATTTTCGGTATTTTGAT